ATTTAAGTCAAATTTCAAGTTGTAAATATTCTATTCATAAAACTATGACAAGAACATTCAGCATCTCTGCTCATTGGATTTACAGTACAGTAAAATAATTTACAACCACACAGCATGATGCTGCAACCACCATTTTGCATTTAAGTCCGGTCTGGCCTCATCTTGTTCAGAGCACCTTCTCCCGTATGTTTGTTGTATCTCTTCATGTTTGTGTCAAACTGCAACCGTGACTTCTTATAGTTTTCTTTCAACAACTTCATTCTCTCCACTTTTGCATGAGGGCCAAAGCTTCGTGTCACTCAAAGCTTGGGTATTATTTTGTTAGTTGACAGTGTCTTAAACTTCTCAACAGCTTTATCTCTGACCTGTCTGGTGTGCTCTTTGTTCATCACGATGCTGTTTGGTCATGAATGTTCTGTTGTAAACCACTGAGGCCTTCACAGAACAGCTGTATACTGAGGATAAATAATGCAGGGGGACTCCGCTTTCTAATTAGGTGATTTTTAACAGTTAGCTGGGTTTTAGTTTTGAGTATCAGTTCAGTGTGTCTATTCAAATGCATGCTGCGTCTTTCTGATTTTTATTTGTAAAGAAATTTCTCATCCACTTTACAATTATGTGCCACTTTGTGTTGATCACAAAAAAATCCCAGTAAAAGGTTTTTGGAGTTTGTGGTTGTAACATTAAAAAGTGAGTATGAAAATCATCACAAAAATACTATTTTAAGGTAGAAAGGGACATTTTTTTCCTAATTTTCCTTGTTTTTCAGCTATATTTTACAGCTAAAGACTGGAGTGATGGTGCATTATTATACCAGTGAAACTTGCATGAACGTAACCTTTAACAAATAGTGATCGAGTCGAACCTTTCAGGGGTCGTCACCGTAAAATTCAGAGATGTTAGTCACCGAGCTTGAAAGAAGGCCCGAGTTACAGCTGATGTCATGGGAAACTTTCACCGGGGAAGAATAAATTTAAATAAATGCCAGCAGAGTCTGGAAACAAACGCAGCAGGGTTTCTGTAAAAGCTGCAAAATTGTGACTGCACCTCCTGCTGCACAATCCACTCAAAAGGTGCGACTTGATGGCTTTGACGCGAGTCTTCCCAGCTTTTTAATTTTTAATAAATATCCATAAAAAAAGAACTGAGCATGGAAAACGAACAATAATTTAACAATAAAAGGACTTAAAAGATAATAGTTCCCTAAATTACAAGAATTTTATTAACTGATAATGTCAAGCTTCTTTATTGTTTTTACTCAAGTGCAGCTAACGTAGAAAACTATTTATACAGGTATTAATCTACTTGCATCTTTTTTCTCTCGTGCACGGCCATCAGCATCTCCTCTGCACACATTCCATTTCTCTTGGACTCATTAAACAAACCTAATAGGCTCTGCCAGCAATTGTTCCCAATTAAACGTGTGTGAACAAATATGAACAGAGTCTGAGCGGGGGGAGCAGCAGAGACCATGTAGGTCAGATAGTTTTATTTTAAAAATTAATTTTTTCCAACAGGCTTGGCTTGTGGAATTTGGCAGAGGGTCCAGACACACAGGAGCATGATGTTTTTTCTGAAAGGGTAAGTGGGCGGCAGCCCAAGCCTCCCACAGGGACAGTGGGAAGTGTGTGGCGTCAGGAGGGGCATCAATCAGCAGGTGGGAGCATGAGGACACCTCTAGTTCATTATTGCTGTTCAAGACCTGAACTAACTGCAGGTTTTGGTCATTTGCTTCATTTCGTGACGCTCCCTCGTGGCATCCTTTGCTGTAAAACCAACAAAAGCACTAAAGATTAATACATCAGAATCAGAACCAGCATAAACTTTATTATCATCACACCGAATTACAGCGAGATTATATTGCGTAGTCGTGCACGTTGCTGCTGCTCCTAGGAGAGCGGTCCCTTATTCTTTAGAAAGAAACTGGGAAAAGACCATGAGGAAAGGATCGTGGTATTACTAAAAAACATCTCTTCAACCCTTTTTATTATCAAGACACGATTTAAGACGTGAAAAAAAAAACTCTACCAGACCGCACATTTATAGACGCATGTGCATTTGATGACAAGACACTGAGATTTGTCCATGAAGCAATTCCAGATAGCACCATAGTCCTGATAAGATGTTGGTGTCAGCCGGTACAGCTCTGATAAGCACGTTCACAGAAGTTCTCGGTGGAGGGGGGGTTGCACGGGGGATGGATAGAGCAGAACCTCTTACTTAGTTTATACATATCCCAGGAGAAATTTGATAAGTTGGCCTGCTTCAAAGCCGAGCGAGGAAGTCAGATTCAGAGGTTATTTTTTTCGTGCAGGCAGACTGTGTTTTCTCGTCAGCCTCGAGTCCTGCTGGTACTTTCGATATCCAAAATGGCCAGATTTGTGGGCTTTCCATTGGTCTGTGCTTATAGTTTCCTCCAAGGTCGATCCCAACATGCTGGCGAGTTCCAAAGCTGCAAGCGGCCTACGATTCTCATAAATCGCTTCCATCTTATGGTTGAGCAAACTTCATGCACCTTCGTGTTGGGCGTTTGTTACTGACAGCAGCAGGGATTTTGAAAGCCCCCCCCAATGGATACAGTTTGGGGAAAATAAGGGTAAAACGCAGACTTTGTTTGTGTAATAGGGTGTTGTTTCAGATGACATCAACAGAATGTCAGAAACCAGCAGCCATCTGAGAGAGCTGCTGGTTTCCTGCTGACAGACCTGAATGAATTTACCTGTTCAACAGGTGGAGAAACTTAGCTCAAGGAAAATCTAACTGCTGGAACAACATTACAATATGAAACACTCCGCTCGTATTTATAATGAGCACCTCATAGATCACTGTGGGCCACCTCATCAACATTTTCTCTGAAATTAGAAGGCCAAAGGCGTGCAGCCACGCAGGAAACCACTTTAATTAGTCCTGCTTCTAGCGGAGTGAAACCTAAACGTGGTCTGCAGCAACGCTCGAAGGTGATGCTCGTTTACGTCGATGAAAAGCACAATTTGATGTTAAAGCTGCTGCAGCAGAGACATGAAACAGGCTGGAAATGATTGTTAGGTTCATTCAGTGAAAGGAAACACGACGTTCCGTGGTCGGTGTGTTTATTGGTTTCATCCTCCTGGTTCAAAGCAAACACTCGTCACAGATTTCATAGTGCAAGCAACGATTAGCATGATGTGATCATTGAACACGTCTATTTGATTCTGGTGGTCCGTTACAAGAGAAGTGAATGACACCACAAGTAGTTGTCATATATTTAAACAGAACATGACAAGAAATAAATACAGGCTTTGTTCAAAACGTTCATATTCATAGTTTTTTCTGAAATAGCTGCACACAACACATGAAACTATGAAAACCCGGAGCATCATTTCTTTTACAGTAAGGATACGTACGTCCTGCTGGTGTGAACAGCTTGAAAACAGATTCAGGAGGGAAGTTCATTTTCTTCAGTCTTTTCAGGTGGAAGAATCAATTTGGTGATAAAGAAAACCCTCAATGTCAGGTCCATGTGGTTCTTTTTGAGTTATAGCCACAACATAACTAACATATGCTGCTTATTATTTTGGCTCAAATTACTAAAAGTAAAATGGTTCATGAGTTGTTTCTCTGCAGAGCTTTATCAGACAGAAGCATCCAAAAAAAAAAAAAAAAAAGCTACCCTGTAAAAACGGTCTTTGTATATCGTGACCGTTGTAACCATCATATGTCATAACTATTTTACTGAAAATAACCAAACACTGTTGAATTAAAGAGATGTTTAAACGGCAATACATGAAACTCTTGTTTGAATATAATAACACAGTAAAGATTAAAGGTACAGTTTTTAACTTCCTCCCCTCCTAACTAAATGTTGCTGCACAAGTCATTTTAGAATGAACATTTACACATTTTAAATACATTTTTACTTTAGCTGTTCGGAGCAAAACTTTACATTTTTGATCTGAAGTTATTGTAAAAGGCCAGTTGATGTCAAATGAAATAATCTCTGAAGCTGCATTCATAAATCATAATTAAAAAAACACACACTGAAAAGTTAGATACATTTATTACTCCTCAATGTTCATTTCTAAAATTGGAGAAACTAAATCCAGACTATTTTCTGTTTTAACTCATTTTGACTGTTTGTATGTGACAGAAAGTTTTAGAAGTCGTGTTAAACTTTCCAGAAGCTCTGCACCCAAGTTATGTTTTATTTTATTTTATCTTTTTAAACCCAGGAACCTAACTAATTTAGAGGAATAGTATAAAGCTGAGCTACAATCTTTAGAAGTGGCAGTAATTTTAGAAATTTTATCATAACTTTTACCATTACAAAGGATTATTTACTTAATTCTGTGGTTGAGTTGTACCTTTGTTGTAATTAGAAAATAACTTTGTTTACCTACAAAACAAAAAGACAACAAATGTTACAGCTCAGTGATGAGCTGTTTGATGAAACTCCCTCCTGGACTAAAAAATATACAACTCCCTCCTCAGATATGACAGATGGGAGCCAAACAAATGCAGCTGGTGTGAATATAATCCAACCAGATTAATGCAAACTACAGCACTTTATATTACTTTCAGAAGCTTTATATTAGATTAATCTTATTTGTGGACAAAACAAAACATAGAAAGAGATTCCAGTCAGGCTCCACAAACAGCCTGAAGCCAAATAATACACAGCAAGCGTACATTATGGGATGGATTAATGAGTCATTAAGGTGACTGATAACTCTGATCCACAGTTTCTCCATTCGTGAGCACATTCAGACAGAGAGGAACGTTTCCACAATCTTTACGAGACTCATTTTATAAATCATTCATGTCTGAGGAGTGTAAAGGTGGGCGGTGTGGCCACATCTAGTTTTAACTTCAGTAGGAAATAGAACAGAAGACAGAATAGAGTGAATAAAAACCAGCATCCTTCAGTGTGGAACAAAAAGGCTACGACTTGTTACATTCAACAAACAGCAGGTTTTGACCATGTTAGGACAAGATTAACACATCATCAGCAACTGACTAACAAGTTCAGCATTGTATATTTATTTTTTTCCAATGTGGCTCTACCACTGTACATACAGCCTGCTGGACCAATCATTTATCCTTTAAAATGAGATCAATCAATGGGGAGCTCCACCTCGTGTGCAGCCTACATGGTTACTCTCAAGACGTCCATCTTTGTGGGTTAGTTAGCACAAGTAGGTAAATAAGTCTATCTTTTGGGTCTGTCAATGTCATCGATGGCTGCTAGAAGTTTCTGACGAGCCTTCTTGTTTATATGTGAGCCCAGACAAACGTTCACCAAGTTGGCCAGCTGCTTCATGGAGTACTCCTGTAAAAAATGCACACACAGTCAGCAAGGAAATGGTATAACTCCAAACAGTAAGTGTACATGCTAAAAAGACCAACTCACTCTGTGGTTCTTGATAAACTGCTCCATGTCGTTCTCAGTCAGGTAGTAAGCCTTGATGTAGGTTTCGACAAACTCCTTGTCAGGGATCGGCCGCAGGTCTGTCAGTTTCTCCAGCTTCATCAGGAACTGCTGAAAATCCAGTTGCATCAAGGCCCGGCCCTCGTTGCTACATTTCTTCACGTTAGCGTAGCTTCAGCAAAGAATAGAGACGCAAAATGAGATTAGTACTGCCCTAAATATGCATAAATATTCATATGTTTTCATCATAGCAGCGATTGGTCATACATGTATGCCTGAGGGGGGTTTAGTTCACATATATTCACTGCATTAATACTTAAAGCCAATTATTTTCATCATGACAAGCCTGCCTTTCATACTACATAATAGCAGAACAGGAAGCTGTCAAGACAACAAATCTGTTCTGATACAGTTTCACACCACATAACACGATGCACTTACCTCTTTTACAAAAGAAGTGAATTCATGCATGAACTCTTAAAAATGATTTTACAAAACATTATGAGGTCACCACATAAATCAGAAACATATGTTTGTATCTTTGGGGCAAAGTCTAGCTGCATTGTCCTGGAATTTCCCAATTTCCGCCCAGTGAATTAGATATAATTGTGTATTTCATTGTCATGTGCTAATGTTTTTTTTTTTAAAAACAAAGTTTTTTTTTCATTTTAAACATACAACAACAAAGAACATAGGACCCCCCCCCCCCCCCCACACACACACACACACACACCAGATCAGTCACACACACACAAATATACGAAACAGGCATTGACAAGTTTTCCACATACAACATAAAAGGTTGCCATGTGTCCCAACATCTTTTAACAGAACCCTACAGGGGTATATATGATTTTTTTTTCCAGATGGATATGATACATCACTTCTCTTATTCAATGAACACATGCTGGGGGGTGTGGGCCCTTCCATCTGCACAAAACAAGTCTCCTGGCCAGAAGAGAGCCAAAGGCAATTATCATTCTCATACTTGCTGAAGGACATATCCACAGGGAGCACCTCGAACAGTGAGATGAGTGGTGATGGGTGTACAGTTTTGCCCCATATCCCAGAGAAAGTGTCAAAAATAGATTGCCAAAAAGTCTGCAGTTTGGGACAGGTCCAAAATGTATGCAGGAGTGTAGCTGGAGTTTGTTTACAATGATTAAATGCAGGGTCCAGGTTGGCTTGGATCTTGGACAACTTGTCTTTGGACCAGTGCAGCCTGTGAACCACCTTCAACTGAACTACAGCATGTCTCAGACAGATTCAGGATGAGTAAATGTTCTTAAGGAACTTTCTCCAGTTTGAGTCTGATATGGATTCATCCAGGTCTGTTTCTCACTTTAGTTTAAGAGTCCAAACTGGTCTCATGACATGAACTGAGCAGTGTATAGATCTTGCTGAGGGCCCCCTTGGTATCAGACCTGCATTCCAAAATCTTAAACACAAAATGTTTAGAAAGGTACAAAGTCCACAGGGATTCTTGCTTGACTTAGTCGGTCCATCACCAGAGCAAACAAGAAGGGGCTCAGAGCCGAGCTTAGATGAAGTCCCACCTCCACCTTGAAGCTATCGGTCACTCCTACAGCACATCTCACCACTGTCCTGCTCATATTTAGCATGCAAACATAAAAATATAGCATACTGGGAAATGTTAAAAAAGCATAACCTTTTTCATTTGGCAAAATCATTGCTAGTTGGGAGAGTGTGAAAGGAGAACTACTCCTATAAGTAATGGAAATTTAAACTTCATAGTGGTTTGTTTTGTTGTGTATCAATCATTTGGAGACATATATTCCAGTGGAAAGACAACTATTGTACCACTACCCCAATATGCTGATTGGCGTGTCATTAAAAGAAAAACATTTAAAGTGCAAATATTTATGTATAATAGCACCGGTTTGTAGATTATTTAGGTTTTGGCATCTAAAGTACTCAGACTTTGTTAGGTCTGACTATAAAAACTATCATCATTATGTCCTAAAATAGACAATCTCACATTGTACACTGAAAGTTGTAAACCTCCTTATGTTTCCATGAATTTGACTCTCAGTGTCTGCAAAATATCCACATGCACTGCATGATGTGAAATCATGATGACTGTTACATAAACTATTATTATTATTATCAAAAACATCTGTCTGAATGCACCTGCATCAACTATAACCTTACCTTAAGATTGGCCTATCCTGTCTGTGTATCATTGCCTTTGGTTTCAGGATCACGGTGTGGGTGTTGTATGAGGCAGAGAACAAATGTATTATGAACTGTTTACTTCTGTTTGTGTTTCATGGCAGGGATTGTTGTCCACTGGCAGGTCAGAGTCGGTACATTAACACCGCTAACAGACACATCTGATCCCAGTCTCACTTTTTCTCTTTCCTGTTTCCATTTTATGCCTCTTTCATCACCTCTTCCTGTCATCTTCTCCCTTTCTTTTATTTTGTTTTTGCCAGTCAGAACTGTTAGTGCATGGTGCCGTGTGTTTGAGCTTCAGCTCAGAATGCTAACGGTGCTTTTTTTTGTGTGTCTCCAAAGGAGGGAGACGAGCGCTGGACAGAGAAATTAAATAAGAGACTGAGGGAGTCGGAGCACAAACAAACAAGCGTGACCGCTCTCTCTTGGCTCAGCAGAGGATTTGGGAGGGATGTGTGTGTTCGTCTGTTTACGCTGTAGTGTACCAGGAGGATCCAGAGGGTTGTGCCTGCGGTAGCTGCCTAAAATTGATCGAGCGACACAGTCGGAATGGCACATTTGCTCTTTGGAGTGGGTTCAAAAGTTCTACACAATAAAAAGTGAAGTGTTTAGCAAATTTCCAAGGAGGAAAATGTGTTACTTTTTCTCAGCGAAGGAGAGCAAGCCTTCCACCTACGTCTAATATCCAACGTTTACCCTCCTTTTTTAAAACACATGGGCAACACAATGGCACAAGAAACATCTTTTGTGGCTCCAGTCCCACCAACACATCAAAGATAACCTGTTTTCAGTGACAACATTCTTTTCTTCCTTCTTCTCATGAAAATGTGTGAAACCTCAGTGGTTTCCTGTCTAACCTAAACCTATGTCACCATCCAGCCGGATGTTCTGTGACTGGACTCATCAGATGAACTCATTACACCTACCACCTAAAAAGTACTTTGTGCAACACGTTGGTTCAGAGTAAAAATAAAATTAATTCAAAAGAAATAAACAAAACACCTACCACAATCCATAAATCTTGCTTTGAAGGGGGTAAAATGGTGAAACGCATTACAAGAGATGTGTCAAGAGTGTTGGTGTGTTTGTGAGTGTTCTGCTCACGTCGTTCTCTGATGGAGCTGAAGTGAGGTGTTAAGAGATGTGACTGGTTCAGGGTCGACAGCACGGGGGAAAAAAAAGAGTAATAAAAAGTGTAACATGCAGATATTTGTTCAGTTTCACCGTGCTTGATGACATAGATTGGATAAGAGTTTTTCATTTGTATTTATTTAAAGGACATGTTTTCCTGCGTGTGGAACTTTAACCTACAATCTTTGGCTTTGGTATCTGTACACAGCATGAGCTTCACATCATTATTAATAGGTCAAATAAAACAAGACTAAACAATTCCATAATGTAGTCAAATTGACAAGACAGATGACTTCTAATTTGCTTGGAAGATCAATTATTTTGAATAATTCATACATCTTAAATATGGACTACCGATAAGTTATTCAAGGTTCAGGTTCATTATTGTCATTCACATCACATGTGGTACATGAGGTGGAATGAAATTGTGTACACAGGGTCCCAGTTACATCCAAGTTCTTTGCATTCTTGAAGTTTTGTTCCTATTTCCTTGTTTTCTGGCAGCGCAGCAACAAAAATTTGCATTTGAATTGGTGCAGAGGTATTCTAAATATAATACACAAAATGATACTGCTAACCAAACATATTGTACTGATGAGCTATGACAGCTGTTTGAACTGGTTTTAGGATCACATTTAATCAAATGTAAGGGTTATTACTACACAATAAAAACAGTTTTTCTTTAATTGTCAGTGTTTTTGTTGCCTTAAACCTGTCAAAAGACAAACATGTGTGAAGGGAATGAAATAAAATCAGACTGTGTTTTACTTCTTTACTAAAAATCAACAGCTACCCAGCCTAACATGATCGGGTGAATCAAAAGGAGGTATCTCTCTGAGCTGTGACTGTTGGCAGAGTAGATGGTGAAAAATTGACCACACATTATTTAATTACCCACTTCGGCTCACTTTGTTCCCACATGGTCAGACACCCCACAATGATTTAATCTGTGAAGCGGAAATGATTATAGGCAGATTTGGACTAGTTCATAACGTTCATCATAATCATCAGTGTGGTTTTAAGACCTGGATGTTTACCTTGATGTTTCCTGTCAGAGAAGAGCTTCTTGCAGGTGTCAATATTCAGCTCTAGCTCTTTTGAGACGAGATGGAGTCGCTTACGACAACTTTGAGATTATTTTCAGAGGAATGTCGGTGCACACATTTTTTGAACATGTTTAAGACTCAGGCAACAGGGCTGTGCAACTCTGCAACTCATCCAAGGAGGTTGAGAACACTGCAAAAGTTGCAAGACATTGAGGAGACTCCCTCATAAACACCATTCACCAACTAGTCAGCCCAGTGAGACACCAGCTAAACAGCCTCCAATCAAACTATTACCTGATGTTACTCTAAATGTTCTAAAACTGCTGATTTAGAGGCTTTGTGACTTCTCTTCCAGCTGTTATTAACTCATAAATATGTAATGGGTCACTATAGCACACAGGTAATACAAAGAGAAAGCTTTCTACAGGGAACTGAATGAAAGATGAGTCTGCACACTACCACCGTTAACCTCAGGATTTACTTTAGCCTTACTGGACAAGGCTGCAACCATACGTCCATTATCTTTACCCACTTCTTTCTTTTCAGGTTGAGGGGGTCACTGGTGCCCATATCCAGCAGTCACTGTGTGAGAGGCAGGGGACAGCTCACAAATCCATCACAAGGCCACAAAGAGACAAACAACCATTCTCTCTCTCTCTCTCACCTAGGGACAATTTAGAGTTACCAGTCAGCCTAACATGCATGTTTTTGGTCTGTGGGAAGAAACTGGAAAACTGTAGTTTTCGGACTATAAGGCACACTGGATTATAAGGTGCAGTATCAATGAACTGGTCTGTTTGCATACACAAGAGCATTAAGTGAAACAAAACAGTCAGATAAGTCAAACTTTATTCAACTCATTCACAATAACCACATAAAATCAGTTTGAGGTCAGTAAGTACAATCAGAATTAATACATAAGGTGCGCTGGATTATAAGGCTCGCTGTCGATTTGTGAGAAAATTAAAGGATTTTAATTGTGCCTTATAGTCTGAAAAATATGGTACCCAGAGAAATCCCACGTGCATGTACACAACATGCAAACTCCACCCAGATACTACTCAGATTTACAAAAAATAAAAAGTACAAATTACCCAGAAAAAAAGTTTTGCAATTATTTACATTACAAAAAGGTTGTCAGAATGATTTAGTCACATAACCAAAGACTGCACACGTCAGTCTCGTGCCAACGACCGGTGTTGTGACTTTCTTACCCCTCAACAAGAGTCCTGTTGGCCAAGCGGATGCAGTGCTCCCAGAGGACGTTGGACACAGGTAGAGGAATGCGCACGTGTCTGGAAACATCACTCAGCCGCTTGTTGAATTGCTCAAACTCCTAAATGGGTGGAGGACAGAAAAATAAAAAATCAATAACAAGATGGCTTTTTTCTTTTCAGAATGAAGCAGATCTATGTTATGTACCAAAATTAATTTATATTTAGAAGCAGACATGCTAGACTTGTAAAATGAAGACATTCCTAAAATATAACGGTTATTAAATTAATATTAAATTACTGTAATAGGGTGACAGTTGCTAAATTACATAAAGTATTTTCTCCACAACAATGACCTCACGTCTAGGCAGCAAAAATATCAAGGCAGGACTTCAATATCTGGGATTTCCCCATGAGAAGACAAACAAAATAAAAGTATTTATGAACAGCAGCAGGCATGGTTTGCCTCTGCTTGCTCTCAGCTACAAAATGTCCTAAATTGGAAAATTGTTCTAAAATATGTGAAGTTATGAACTGAGAGAGCCGCCTAATAACTGCTGAGAAAAGAAATCAATTCTACATAAAATTAATTTAGAATGAGACAAGCAGTAGAAGATGGATGATTGGATGAAAACTATTTTATAGCAGTTGCATGTCCCTAAAGCTTTCCATGCCAAAGTTTAAAACAAAAATCTTTTGGCCCTCAATGTGTTGATGATGACTCAGCAACTAGCACATCAAATTGTGTCTTATTATCTCTAAATATAGACATTATAGAGCGTTATAGACATTTTCTGTCTGCTAAGATCAGTTACCTAGTGTTAATTACATGATAATAATTAATTACAGGATTTGAATATTGAATGTTTGTAGTTTTTGTGATGAGTGTTTTTATGGACTCCAATGTACAGGGAAAACAAGTAAACCTTAATGTTTTTGGTGCAAGATATTCAAATAGGTAGGAGTTACACTGTGTAGAAGAAGAGAGAGAGTTTTTTGTTTTTGTTTTTTTGGTTCTAGGCAGCACAGAGTGATGGATTCTGGCAAGTGGAGGGAGCAAATTTATCCACCACCAAGTGCAATGGTGGAGCTAGGGGGTGGCCAGTGGTGGCCTTGGCCACCAAAGATTAAACTTTGGCCTCCCCAATCATTTTAAAGAATACCACTAAGCAATATGAGAACTAAAGTATTGTTCCCTCCCACCACCACCACCACCACCACACACACACACACACACACACACAGGATGTGGATGTCATCTTGGATTTTAAAGTGGCAACCCAATATTTGATAGGAACCTTTCTTAGGCCTATATGCAGCCACAACACAAAATGGAAGTTGGCTTATTGCTTATTTTTCCAAGTTATTCCGCTGACAAGGTTTACATATATACGGTGCCAGACAATGGTGGGCACGGTTCTGTTAATTTGCTAACAGTGGTGTTAACTTTTGAAAATCTTTAGCAGAATTGCACATGCTAAATTTATATCCAATAAATTCAAGTCCACTAATTTTTTTAAAAGACAGTTCTCTGCACTACGATCATACAGAACAATGGTGATATACAGAAAGAGAACAACATATCATATACATAGCATGGATACATAGCATATCATAGCAGAGCTAAGCTAAGCACCACCCAGTGATGTCACCACCCTCCCAGTGCTTTCTCCCCATCATATCTAACGCAAATAATCTCTGACACATGATATCAGTTTACAGCCAATATTAGAGACTTTAACATAAATACCAAATCAAACCAGAATAAAAACATAACATGAAAAAAAACATTTTCACACTCAGAAACATTGTAAACAGTCAAAAACATTGTACATATATAATTCCTACCCAGCATGCTTTGCAACACTGTCACTGGGACATGACTCTCTCACACATGATTTCACACATCTTTACTTTAATACACACAGATTGATGACAGAGAGAACATGGATAATGATGCACAACAACTTTGTAGTTAGTTTATAAAGGTAGTTGATCACAAAGATGGTCCCCAAAGAGTAATTTCATTATCGTAAAATGACACGAGGAAGATGTCCGACACACACTGAATGCATCACTGATTCAATTCAATTCAGTATATATTATATAGCGCCATGTCACAACAGAAGTCATCTCAGGGCACTGAACAGAAACATTCACATACATAAAAAGTCTGTTAATAACGTTATCTAAGGAACATTATTATTTATTATTCAGCACAGCAGAGTTCTGCTCCGCCTCTTTGGTTCCAATGAAGCAGATTACTTTCTGAAAGATCACCTCTGAATGGGACATGGACACTTTACCTGGGATTTATGAAGCATTTTGAGTTTTGTTTATCTTGTCACATTACAGACATTCTTACAGTGTCAGCAACAGCAGTGTATGATAAAAGTTAGCACTTTAGCGTTAGCGTCCGATAACTATTTTACGTTTAGCAATTTAGCCTTAGCAAAGCTAATTTTTTTTAAGTTAGCGATTTAGTGGTTAGTGAAGCTAACTTTTTGATTAGCTGTGCTCACCACTGGTGCCAGCCATCTTGGATTTTGACATGGCAACCCAAGTTTGAAAGGACATTTTTATCTGCTTAGATAGAGCTACACACCAAAATAGAAGTTGGCACCCTCATTTATTTTTTGAAGTTTTTATTGTATTTTTTATTTAATCTTTATTTATACAGGTAGTCTCGTTGAGTCAAGAGGGCTCATTTTCAAGAGAGACCTTTTTGGGAGCAGATGGTGGGGGGTTAAGGGCCTTGCTCAAGGGCCCAGAGTGGGGCAAATGATGGTGGAGGTAGGTGTGGGTGTGTCACCTTTTCCACCCACATTTTGATGTTGTCGGTCCAGGGAGTTGAACCGGAGACCTTCTGATCCCAGGTCCACCTTCTCTAACCTCTGCGCCACCACTCCCCAAGCTCAAAACATTCACAAAAGGACGTAAGTACAGATGGACACAGGGTATTTCCAATTCCCTTGGGGGACATTAAATACATTTGAAGAGAAATAAATGTACATTACTGCACTGGCTGTTGTTCTGAAACATTTTCAACCAAAGCTTTAATAATTACAGCTAGGCTGTTCGAACTGATGAACCCACAACATTTTTATAACCAGAGGATACTCACAACAAATAATAAGTAAAGCAAATCATTTATACTATTTTGCAGATTAGGTACCATCTCAAAGTACTATAAATTCCTAAAGGTTCATCTGATCCTAAACAAGGTTCTCCATTTACAGCAACTCTTCTACAGATATTTTGAGTAAAGTAGTATCTTTTGTAAAATAAATAAATAAAATTTCCTCAGCATGAAGGCAGCAGATAGCACTTACTGCCTCTAAATGCTGCCATGTTTTGGCACTAGGCATTAGGAGAAAATATCCCAGAGGAAGCTGCAGACCTTTGGTTACAAACATGCACCGGGTTGTTTTGGTCGCAGGAGACCCACAGGTGCGCCGCATGTGTTATGTTTTGATGTCACTTGTTTATAGCCATAAAAAACTTCCACTGAAGAAGTTCCATTTATGCACTCATTGCACTCCCAGATGTTGAATTATGGATGAAATTGTCCAGTTTATGACGTTGTGTTTGTGGAAAGACACATCTGAGTGAAGTGCTTTTCAAATGTGTTTGCAAGCATGTTTGATAGCTTAAATTCAAGTCCCATTTAAATAAGAAAAAAAAAGACAGAATTTTTACAACAAAATTTTCCGGTTATTTTCCCTCAGGATTCAGAAGTCATTCATTCTCAGACAAACTCATAATAATTTCTGACTCCAACATTTTGTCACTGCTGTCATTCTGAGCCTTCTGCATTTCTCCGTCACTTTATATGCAAATCACCGCACAATGACAGTGATCAACCTGAGCTCATGAATAAAATATATCTTCACGTGTGTGTGCGTGTGTGCAGTGCAACAAAACGTAGCATGCACAGCGTACTATAACACAGCCCAGTTCGTGTATTAGGAGCGTATGACAAGTTGATGGGGCAGGGCATTAGCACCTGATGGAGGGGGAAGCACATGCGACTTGTAATGTACTTCATGTCGGTCCATCAGCAGGACTCGTTTGACACAGTTAGGCGTTTAAAGCCGAGCTGCTGAGACAGGTTTTCCTCTGAGGCAGTTTGCCTCGTGAACTAAATTAGTTAAGCTAAACTGCAGAACAGTCAGTGCCAAAGAAAGATCGATGAGCCATCAGGGAACACAAAAAGGTATGGTTTCATTCATGGAAAAAAACAACAGCTTTGATATTTAATCAGTCTGATTTTTATGATCAGTGATTAATGTTTTTATTTGGCACATTTGGTGAGCTTGTAGCAGCTTTGGTGAGGGTGAAAGCTGATTAAGTGTAAAAAGAACACAATTTTAACATTTTTATTGCCACTTGAAGCATAATTTTATGTAAAAAGTCACATTAAAAAGCCTTTTTAAGTAAGTGGGTTTGAACATTTACAGGAATGATTACTGTGAGTTAGTTTGCGCCTAGAAAACCGAGGCTTATATTACAACTGTTTACACTTTACAAAATAAATGTAACTGAAGGTGAAGGCTGACAATGTTTCTGCCCGAGTCTTGGTGTGTTCCTGTGTTACAGTGCCTTGTGAAAATATTGGGCCCCCTTGAACTTTTCAACCTTTTGCCACATTTCAGGCTTTAAAACATAAAGATATAAAATTTCATTTTTTTTGTGAAGAATCAACAACAAGTGGGACAAAATCATGAAGTGGAATGAAATTTATTGGATGTGTCAAACTTTTTTAACAAATAAATTATCAGTAATTTGTAAAGTAAAAATTCTCCCGCAAATGACCTACTATATTTTGCTGAACTCCTAGGTCCTGTGGTAATACTAATCCAATGTGAATAAGCATCTCTGTGATTTGGACAAAAATGGGTGGGATCCGATACATAAATAGGCATTTTTTGTTTCCTGGGTGCATTTTTATTTGCTTTTGGCTGCATTGGAGTGCATAGATAACCTTTTGTATCCCATACCAGCAAAAGCCTATTGACCAGTAACGGTCGCCAAAAAATAGAAAAG